CAATATAGATAAACTTTTAACAATTGATATCAACCTAACCACGTGAGCATACTCATAGCCATGTCAGACCGCTATCTGCATTAGCGGGAACAACGTAAGCTTCCGCCATGTCAGCCCAGACTTTTTTGTTTTCTTAAAAAAACCCGTGACTAGGATCAATGCGCAGGCCAAGCGGGACCCACACTGCCATCAATTTAGCAAAAGCTGAATATGCTTTGCTCTGCTCTGCAAATATCCCTTCCCTTCCCTTCCTCTCCCCCCTTTCCGGAATTTTCACCTTTCTTTGTGAAACAGAAAAAATCACTATAAATTCATTCATCTCTTTCTTTGATCTTCTCCTTCTCTGTGGTGTTTCTTTTGTGAGATAATCATGGAGCTTCTTAAAGAGCTCTTTCTGACAGCTTTTGTTGCCATTCTTTTCTCTTTTCTTATTGCGAAGCTTGTTTCCAGGGTGACGTCTGGTGGTTCTCTGCCGGAATCAGAGTCGAATTCAGGGATTGATGTTGATGAGGAGACTATTAAGAGAGAGTTGCAGTTTGGACAAAGATTGGAGGTTAAGACATTTGAAGGCCAGAGAAAGGTCGAGTTCATCCAGGAAATTGTTTGCAAAGATGAGCAAGTCGTTGCAGCGCCGGCTGTTGCTGAGGAAATTGGGGAATCAGTTGTGCGGAGTGGAGAATTTGAAGCAGAATCGCGTCAATTAGCTGAAAAATCAGAGTCGGAGGTGAAGTTCGACGACGTCGTTGACAAGGAGAGCTTTGGAGTAGAAAAAGGAATCGTAGTCGATCAAGAAAATGCTAGCGGAGTGGCTAACGTCAAATCAGAATCGCCTAAATCCGACGAAATATCCGAATCCGCTGCTCTCAGCAGCCAAATGGAAGCAGAAGCGTGTCAACTACAGGAGAAATCAGAATCCGAGGTGAAGTTTGATGATGTTATTGAAAGAATGGTAAAGAATGTAGAGGTCGGGGAAATGAAGCCAGAAAAATTGGAACCTGAAGTGAAGTTTGATGATATTGTTGAAGACAAGGTGGAGAACAAAGAGGTTGGGGGATTTGATGAAGCATTGGAAAAAATCAGAAAGAATCATGAACATGAGCTTGAATCTGATGAGATTAGTGCTTTAGAGAGTAAATTGGAGAGAGTAGGTGATGAATTAAAGGAGGTGAAATTGGAGAGTCACGATGATGATGATGATTGGGAAGGGATAGAAAGGACTGAATTGGAGAAAGTTTTTGCAGTGGCTGCTAAGTATGTTGAGGGTAAAGGAGAATTGGAAGGTATAGGGAATGATGTGCAGATGGAAATGTATGGACTCCACAAGGTTGCAACTGAGGGACCTTGCCGAGAGCCACAGCCAATGGCTCTGAAGGTGAATGCTCGTGCCAAGTGGTATCAAACTCTCCTGTGCTCATCTATTAATGTTATTTCTCATTTAATGCTTTATGGTTTTTGATGTGTTTGGATGATTGGAATTAGGTTGCAAAGTCTAGATGTCTCTTTGGTTGTCAAATTATTGAGACAATGAAGTACCTAGGCAAAAAGTGGGAGAGCATTCTAAATTTCATCATATACATTATTTGGACATTTACAGAGATTAGTTGATTTGGCAGGCAGCATATAATGCAACTGCGCCAGACATAAACTAGAAAAGACTAACCAGGGGATTTTAGTCCCACAAATGTGGATAAAAAAAAAAAAAAATCTACTAATAAAGAGAAGTTAAAGATAGGAAAGGCTGAAAATTTTAGTTCACATTGAGAATTATGTGCACGTTTGATGGAAAATTGAGTAGGATGGTATGGAAATATAATAATCAGTTGTTTACATCAGATGGAAAGTTAAGTAGGATGGAGGTATGTATATATAATCAGTTATTCTGGCTCCTGTCCAATTATAAGGTAGTCTTGTAATTTGTAGCAGGTAAAATGGGGTAGTTCAGAACGCATCATCAGCTGACAAGGATGAGATAATGCATTGTGCAATTTGTGCTGATCATTTTCCTAACGTTCTTTTCCCTTTCTGTCACCACCAAATATGTCCTTTCTTCTTGTTTTAAAGCTGTCTGAAACCTTAACACCTTAAACCCATGGTAGTCTCAAGGATTACCCAAGTTTCTGTAATTGTCTAATTTGGATTGACCCTACATAAATTTCAGTCTGTTACTAGAAAACTTTATAAAGCTTAGGAAGAATAGAGTCTGTAAAACACATTAGGGTGTAAGCCTATACCAAATAACACGGTATAGCTTGATTGCTAGTCACAATAACAGGGTTGACAGCTGCTATATTTGAGTGATGGACGGCACTGCTTGCATTGTGCAAGGAATGCGTGGCAAAGGCTGGGGAACATGAATCCAGAGGTGGCCATGGAGCAATATGTTGCCCTTCTTTCAGATAGAGTTCCTGGGTGGATGAAAGACAATTCTACTGTGAGTTTTTCATTTTACTATTTTGGCATTCACCATGTTTGACTTCTTCAGTTACCTTTAAACATAGAATGCATATCAAGCTTTATTTTGTCAGCAACTCTTCATACAGGGGGAGAATAAACAGGAACCTACCAAAGTGGGACTTCAAGCTGCCATAGCTCATGATAGAAGTTCATTTCCAGACCTTCAGACCAATTCTACAGAAGAAAGGTAGTTAGTGAAATGGTAATTTTTTAAATTTGTTTTTGTTTTCTTCTTGTTGTTGTTGGTTATGCTAAATATTTTTGCCCCTACGTGCTTCAGTATTTCAGAATTGGAGTCTACCATGACAGGAGGTCAGGAGTCTGGGTGCTCAAGCTTTGATAACCAGGTATCATTTTCATTTTCTTTCCTTTCAGTCTAAGTTTGTTGAAAATGAGGAATGTTGTGGGTAAGTTTGGTGAATGAACACACTAAATAAGGAACCAACTGAGATGCTTATCAGCTCATGATATGAACAAACACAGCTTGTGTCTTGTGAGCTATCATTGATCAAAATATTTTACCTTTACTTGTTTGTCTGCTCTTGATCCACTAGTTCCACACCGAACTCTGATTTCTTGTTTCATATACTTTTGTGCTTGCTTACCCAATAACATAAACGGATTATATGTAACTTGTAATTGATATGAAAATTTTCAGGCCAAAGAATGATAGCTTTGCTTCACTTCATCTCCCCAACTACAGGGGCTATTCTACTAAGTTTTATTGACAAGAAGCTGGACTATTCTTTATCACCAAGTATAGCATATTGGTAAAGCATGCAAAGCTGTTGTGCTGTTTATGCTTTCGCATGTCCTGATATTGCATTGGTGTTGTGTGATTAGGAAAACTTTAATCGCTGTGCATCTATATAAGTATATAACCATCCAAATATGTATATGTTTGGCATCCATGTTTCTAACTATTCAAGATGGCGTGGTTGTGACTCTTGAGATAAAATATCAATACATGCTTTTACTTGACTATATATTTCCCAGGTTTATTATACATATCGGTAATATTCCATCTTATGTTAGAAATACATGAAGGGTATGTGCAAAAATAGATGCATTGGATTTACAGTTGTTTAAAGTGCCCCTCACGTTTCAAATTGTGCAATGTAAGGAGGAAGCCGGTTGATTGTATGTTTGTATTGCCGTTTCTTTTAGGCTAATGTCTTTATTTTATCACGGAATGCAACTAGAAGTCATAAATTTTTATTAAAACCGAGGGAAAATACAAACCTAACATTACAAACTGGGGAGGATTTTCAAAACTGCTTCTTTCAATTATGACCAACCCCCTTTAAAAGGATATTAAATGGGTTGGTAGAGAAATAAAGGTGAGAACTTATAAACTAACATAAATTATACCCAAAAAAATAAAGGTAGCTTAAAGAGTATATTTGAGTTAGTTTGTAAGAGTTCTTAATTTTTTTTGAACAGCGTGAAATTCTTTTTTAGGGAAGGGGGAAGGGAATTTGGGATTTGATCTCAAGTTCTTTAGTCTTAAGCACGTCCTGGTAGGGGTAGTCATTGGGCCACCAAGTGCTGGACGTATTATTCATGAGTGATAAGTTTAAATTTTTATTAAAAAAAAAATTTAAAAGTTACTTTTAAAAAAAAAAAAAAAACAAGTAAAAAAAAAGTTTATGAAAAATTTGGATTTAAACTTTTTGAACTTTTATTATTTAAGAATTTTTTAAAATTAAAAAAATTAAAATATAATTTTTTTTAAAAAATTTATATTTATAAAATATAAATAATATGAAAAAATTAAACTACTTATAAACTGAATGAAACATGCTCTAAAGTTTAAAGGCAAACCCGCAGTGGCGAGACTGGCAGCGCGTGCGTTTAACCCGTTGGGAAGTATGTGGATTAGCTGGCCGCCCTGTAAGACAATATCGGTGATCGGGCCGATCTGCATGATCTGGTGTTGCATCATCTGTGTAATCTGTATTCTATCCTGTATCAAAGAATAAGTTGGGGTAGCTTCTACTGGGTCCGTGGGTCTATATTCTCATTTGTGGAAGCCCAACTTCAACCAATGAAGGCCCTTTAAGGAAACAGGCTGGACTTTGTCCCAAAGAGTGAATTTCTGGGGCGCATTCTCAGGGCTTCACCACATCCAAGGGGATAAGAAACAGGGTGATACAAAATGAAAATTGGGAAATCTTGTATGCAAGAACAGAACACAGGGATGCTTACAGTATGTTTTGGTTGAGGGAAATGGAAAGGAGTGAATTTTTTTTTTTTTAATTTAGTTATTAAAAGAATTA